GCAAAGCTGAAAATTGGACTCATCAGAGAAGATTACCTTACTCCAGTCCTCTACGGTCCAATACTTATGGTCTTTTGCAAACCTCAGCCTGGCTCTTCTTTGCTTCTCATTGATGAAGGGCTTTTTTCTAGCTTTGCCCGACTTCAACCCTGCCCCTAGGACCCTGTTTCGAACTGTCCTCGCCATGCACTTCACCCCAGCTGCCGTTTGCCAATCTTTTTGTAGGTCACTTGGTGTCATCCTACGGTTGTTGAGTGACATTCGAATGAGTTGGCGGTCATCCCGGTCAGTAGAGAGTCGTTTTCGCCCTCTGCCGGTCTGTAGCTTTGTTGTCCCCAATGTCTGCTGCTTGAACTTGTTCTTATGAACCGCCGTCATTTACATTTTAAGGATGGAAGCAACCTGACGCTCACTGTATCCCTCTGCTAGTAAAGCCAGAATTTAACCCTTCTTTTCCTCACTCAAAACTTTCCTTTTCAACTCTTTTGGCATGGTCTATAGTTTTTTGATTAATATTACTTTTGAGGTACTATTAGCACTGTTTTTGCCATCCAGCAGGTCCTATTGCAAGAGGATAGTGATGACCACAGCAGTGGTTTTTATACTTTTCCTCGTTAAATAAGATTTGGTTCAGGTGATCACCTAATCAGTACCTAAATCAGTAGAATGAGGTGTGCCTGTGTTGGAATTCAACAGACACTGGAATGGAATGGCTGTCATACATGTAGAGATGCTGATCTAAGAAAAATGTGCAGTGGTCTCTTAATTTTTTCCAGAGCTGTATATATACAGCACCAGTCAAACGTCTGTACACATCTACTCATTCAAGAGTTTTTCTTTATTTTTACTATTTTCTACATTGTAGAATAATAGTGAAGACATCAAAACTATGAAATAACACATATGGAATCATGTAGTAAATAAAAAAGTGTTAAATGAATCAAAATATATTTTAGATTCTTCAAAGTAGCCACCCTTTGCCTTGATGACAGCTTTGCACACTCTTGGCATTCTCTCAACCAGCTTCATGAGGTAGTCACCTGTAATGCTTTTCCAACTGTCTTGAAGGAGTTCCCACATACACTACCAGTCAAAAGTTTGGACACACCTACTAATTTAAGGGTTTTTCTTTATTTTTACTATTTTTTACATTGTAGAATAACAGTGAAGACATCAAAACTATGAAATAACACATATGGAATCATGTAGTAAACAAAAAAGTGTTAAACAAATCAAAATATATTTGAGATTTGAGATTCTTCAAATAGCTACCCTTTGTCTTGATAACAGCTTTGCACACACTTGGCATTCTCTCAACCAGATTCTCCTGGAATGCTTTTCCAACAGTCTTGAAGGAGTATCCACATGTGCTGAGCACTTATTGGCTGCTTTTCCTTCACTCTGCGGTCCAACTCATCCCAAACCATCTCAATTGGGTTGAGGTCAGGGGGATTGTGGAGGCCAGGTCATCTGATGCAGCACTTCATCACTCTCATTCTAGGTAACATAGCCCTTAAACAGCCTGGAGGTGTGTTGGGTCATTGTCCTGTAGAAAAACAAATGATAGTCCCACTAAGCCCAAACCAGATGGGATGGCATATCGCTGCTGAATGCTGTTGTAGCCATGCTGCTTAAGTGTGCCTTGAATTCTAAATAAATCACAGACAGTGTCACCAGAAAAGCACCCCCACACCATCACACCTCCTCCTCCATGCTTTACGGTGGGAAATACACATGCGGAGATCATCCGTTCACCTACTCCGCGTCTCACCAAGACACGGCGGTTGGAACCAAAAATCTCACATTTGGACTCCAGACCAAAGAACACATTTCGACCGGTCTAATGTCTATTGCTTGTGTTTCTTGGCCCTAGCAGGTCTCTTCTTATTATTGGTGTCCTTTAGTAGTGGTTTCTTTGCAGCAATTCCATGAAGGCCTGATTCACACAGTCGACACACAGTTACTTGAACTCTGTGAAGCATTAATTTGGGCTGCAATTTCTGAGGCTGGTAACTCTAATGAACTTATCCTCTGCAGTAGAGGTAACTCTGGGTCTTCCTTTCCTGTGGCGGTCCTCATGAGAGCCAGTTTCATCATAGCACTTGATGGTTTTTGCGACTACACTTGAAGAAACTTTCAAAGTTCTTGACATTTTCCGGATTGACTGACCTTCATGTTTTAAAGTAACGATGGACTGTCGTTTCTCTTTGCTTATTTGAGCTGTTCTTGCCATAATATGGACTTGGTCTTTTACCAAATAGGGCTATCTTCTGTATACCAACCCTACCTTGTTACAACACAACTGATTGGCCCAAACGCATTAAGAAGGAAAGAAATTCCACAGATTAACTTTTAAGATGACACACCAGTTAATTGAAATGCATTCCAGGTGACTACCTCATGAAGCCAAGAGTGTGCAAAGTTGTCATCAAGGCAAAGGGTGGCTATTTGAAGAATCTCAAATATATAATATGTTTTGATTTGTTTAACACTTTTTTGGTTACTACATGATTCCATATGTGTTATTTCATAGTTTTGATGTCTTCACTATTATTTTACAATGTAGAAAATAGTACAAATAAAGAAAAACCCTGGAATGAGTACGTGTGTCCAAACTTTTCACTGGTACTGTATATATAAAAAACACCGGAAAATCACGTTTTTGATTACACAGGGCCTTTAACTAAATAAAATAAATGACTTTGCTTTACAGAACATTTCCTGCAATTCTACACGTTTTGCGATGGGGTGGGGAGAAATCTTTGCAGTTTTAAAGCTAATTTCCTGCAATTTTACACTTTTTGCCATGACTTATGCCATGTTAATATGATATCTGAATGAGAGTAACTAACAAAATCAATGGGGGCACCCTGGAGGTCAGGACCCCTGGGCACGTGCCCTGCATGCCCAATCAGTAAATCGGCATCATTACTACAAGTTTAGATAGGTGGCTAGACTAACTAGACTAATTTACCAATCTAAAATGTTTTTACTGACATGGGATAATTCAGTGAATGTCAATGGGTGACATATTGCACCTGGTGTATTCTATTATTCTAACTCTCAACAGTAAATTGAGACCCCGACTGAGTTCCCAATTTTTTAATAATAATGTATTTATTTTTATTCTGAGTAATTACAGAGGTCCGGACCTTGGCGTCCTCATATGTAGTTTACGGCCCTGACTCTGACGTTGCCCCATTTGAAGTTGGCATTTAAAATGGTTAAGGTAAGGGTTAAGATTAGGGTTGGGGTTAGGTAATGGTTAAGGTTTGGGTTAGGATTAGGATTAGGATTTAGGGTAGGGACGTCCCAAGGATCCCGGATAGCATTGACCACAAAATCAATGCTAGCTCTTAAAAGGGCAGTAGCCTACATTGGATGTAACATTTTCAATGGTGAAGGTGCATAAAAATGGCGGGCGGCCCTCATGTACTTACCAGAAACGCCTCATTTGCTAAGTTTGCCGTATTGTACAGTGCTCTCCGTTAGTCTTTTTTTGTATTGGCATTAGCACAGTATACATGATCCCAATTCTAGCTCCAAGACGGCATCAATTTCAAAAAAACGAAAAAGTAGATTGTGCTGATTTATAGGCACATTGAACCATGTCGTGTGTGGATAGTGCTCAAACAAAGACTTCATACAGTGCATTCGGAAAGTATTCAGACCCCTTGACTTTTTCCACATTTTGTTACGTTACAGCCTTATTATAAAATGGATTGTATCATTTTTCCCCTCATCAGTCTACACAGTATTCCATAATGACAAACAAAAACAGGTTTTTAGAAATGTTTCCAAATAACAATTTAAAAACTGAAATATCACATTTACATAAGTATTCAGACTCTTTACTCAGTACTTTGTTGAAGCACTTTTGCCAGCGATTACAGCCTTGAGTCTTCTTGGGAATGACGCTACAAGCTTGGCACAACTGTATTTGGGGAGTTTCTCCCATTCTTCTCTGCAGATCCTCTCAAGCGCTGTCAGGTTGGATGGGGAGCATCGCTGCACAGCTATTTTCAGGTCTCTCCAGAGATGTTCGATCAGGTTCAAGTCCAGGCTCTGGCTGGGCCATTCAAGGACATTAAGAGACTTGTCCCAAAGCCACTCCTGCGCAATAATGTAACATATAGGCCTGAAACTCTTTTTATCATAAGGTTCAACGCTAAGGTCCCCCGCACATTGACTCTGTACCGGTACCCCCTGTATATAGCCTCCCTACTGTTATTTTATTTTACTGCTGCTCTTTAATTATTTGCTATTTTTATTATTTACTTATCTATTTTTACTTAACAGTTGTTTTTTTTTCTTAAAACTGCATTGTTGGTTAAGGGCTTGTAAATAAGCATTTCACTGTAAGGTCTACACCTGTTGTATTCGGCGCATGTGGCAAATAAAATTTCATTTGGTTTGATTTGATTAATCACTTGTGACAGTGCTGGACATTAGTTTACACTTCCTTACCTTTAATACCTTTAATATTGATCTTGAAATTTGAACATTGGAGTACTTATTAAACTTTCTCAGTAAATCTGTAACCGTTTTCGTTCCCCAGTATGAGACTGTGGTTGACTCAGAGAGCCTGGGTACTCTACAACCTGTAGCCTACCACACTGTGAACCGGCGCTACAGCGAGTTCCTCCACCTTCAGACACGCCTGGAGGAGAAGCCTGACCTCAAGAAGATGATTAAGAGTAAGAAGTCCAATTCTATATATTTTTAAGTCTTTCGTATGTTTTTTTGGCTAGAGAGAGATTGAGGTGAAAGGTAGGAGAGAGTGCTGAAAGAGCAGTAGGCCAGATTCGAACCCATGCTGGCAGCGGTACATTGTACATGTGCTCCAGAGGTAGCGGCTTAGACCGCTAGACCACCCCAGGCCACTGTACTCTATTATAGTCAGTTAAAACAAATCATTTATAGTGTAGAAGAAGTCTTACATGTGCTGTATGGATATTTTATTCTCACCAAAGGGTGTGTGTATCTTTTCCATTTCAGATGTCAAGGGACCCAAGAAGATTTTCCCTGATCTTCCATTTGGAAACCCAGATATTGACAAGGTGGAAGTTCGAAAAGGACAGCTGGATACCTTTCTTAAAGTAGGAATTGAATTGTTTATCTAAGAAGATGAATAACTTCCTGATTTGTATGTTTTTGATATGTGACTGTTGCGTAGTAATCTGATCACTCCGCTTTCGTTTCCTCCAGCAACTGTGCACCATCCCTGAGACGGCCAACAGCGACGAGATGCAGGAGTTCCTGGCTCTTCACACAGACGCCAGCACAGCCTTTGAGAAGAAACCATTTGTTATGTCCAGGATTGATAAGGTGACTTATCGTTTTCAGTGTCACAACTTTCCGGTTATGAAATAAAAACAGTGCATGATAACTTGACCTAAAAACATGAAAAGTGAGAGATAATGGGAGAAAGGAGAAGATGTGGTTTCTGGTGACCTGTTTTTTCTGAAGCTAACCGTGGTGCTGTGTTTGTGCTGTGTCCTCCTGGGCCTGGTTGTTGGCGTCTACTGTAGATGATGGCAAATGCTGTAGACACTCTGAAGACAGCATTCCCTCGTTCTGAGGATGACCTGGATGGAGACCCTGCTGATGGGAGGAATGCCCCAGAAGGAAGGAAGAGGTGGGAGTCTCTCTATTTTTCTCTCTCTCTCTCGCTCTCTCTTCCCACTCTCTCTCTTTCTCTGACTGTCACAAATATGTACAGCCTGGCCAAAGCTTTTCACTATCATGTCTCTCTTGAAATACTCATTAAAACATCTGTAAACCACTTGCTGTAGTTTTCAATTCAAATATGAAATTGAAAGCTGCTTTAGGAAAAATTAAGTTATTTGTGACTGCTTACATAACATTAAATTCAAACTATCTTGTTTTGTGTAATGTGTTTGTTAATTGTTGCTTGTTGTGTCAGGTCTGTCCGGCTGAGGTTCTCCAGTAAAGTTGCCCCTACTCTTAACATACCTGATATCCAGCCCAAAGTCATATACTGCTTCAATGAAGGCAGCACTGTAAGTTAACCATGGAAGTTTCATATCAATGAGTATGAATAATAATTTAATATTAATGTAATCAAACTGTCTGTTTGAGTGCACTCACTCACTCATTCACTCAACCCGCCGATCCATCCATCCATCCATCTATTAATTCACTCATTCATCCCTGTGCCCTGGTCTGTTTCTGCAGGTGTTCCATGACCTGTCCCTGTCTGGTCTGGAGGGCTTTATAAAGGACCAGGAGGCTCTGCTCTATGCTCCCCAGGAGAAGGAGGCTGACAGGAGGAGGTTCAGCGTGCCACCTGTCAAAGACAGGAAGGGAGGTGGGGGTCGGGAGAGAAAACTACGGGGGACAGGTACAGTTTTTCTAACGTCTACACGGGCCTGCATTATCAACCATTATTCTCTTACATGAAGGACTGTCATACAGTTGACTAAATATATAAGGACCGTCTCAGTGCAAAAACAGACATTATTATCATAATTATTAACTTTCCAAATTAGATCATCTATGAGCATACTCCACTCAGTAATGGCCAGGAGGAGGTAGTAGTAACCTTGCACAGCCTCTGTAGGCCAGTACCACACCACTGTTTTAATGAAGCAGTGTTTACTATCTATCTGAGGCTATCTGTCTCTGTCTGCCTTTCTGTTATTCGTGTTTCAGAATCATGTCCCAGTATTTGAATCTTCTTAGCAAGTTTTGTGTCTGTTTTGTATCTGTTGCATGCGTGTGTGCTTGTATGTGTGAATCTGACTGTGCTGTGTGTTTGTGCAGACACGGCCGTGGCAGATGTAGCTCTGAACATCCTGTGTCTGCTGATGAAGGAGCAGTGGAGCTGGCTGTGTACTGAGAACATCCAGAAGACCATCAGACTGCTGTTTGGCACCTTCATTGAGAGGTATCACACCATATCATATCGTCATCTTCATAGACTAGAACAGGAAAGCAGTATTTTAGCTAGGATTGTTAGCCCATAGTTTTTGTTGTAATTTTTGAGTCACTCAAATATCACATGAATACACGTCACTCAAATATCACAGGAATACACATTAGAAATGGCTAAATGTATAGATTTTTTTTAAAATTAGCTTCAAACCTGCTAAATGTTCTCTCCACCATCAAGAGGGGTGTGAACAGCGAAACAGACATAGAAATAGACGTGGCATGTGTATGCGCGTACACAGGCGTGGGGTGTTCCCCAATGCTGGAAGGGGGACCTGAGTGAAAGTTTGGGAACCCCTGGTGAGGTTTCCTACCGCTCTGTGGATCTTGACAGGTCTTCAGCAGAACATCCAGACATGGCCTTTTTTTCTCTTTGTATTTCCCGGAATGGTTTGCTGAGGTATTAAGTAAGAGGGTTTTTCATCAGTCTAATATTACAAGATGAATGTCCAAGTTTCGCTCCAAAAACAAGTTTTTGTAATATGGTTCAGCGGTCTAAGGTCTAAGGCAATACATCTCAGTGCTAGAGGCGTCACTACAGACCCTGGTTCGATTCCAGGCTGTATCATAACCCGGCGGTGATTGGGAGTCCCATAGGGCGGCGCACAATTGGCCCAGCGACATCCGGGTTTGGCCGGGGTAGGCCGTCATTGTAAATAAGAATTTGTTCTTAACTGACTTGCCCAGTTAAATAAAGATTAATACACATTTCAAAAGGTCCTTGGTTGTTCATTCAGAAGGGATCATTTTCCTCCATAACTTGGCTATGTTAAATGCTATTATGAAATAGCATTTCCTTTCATGTCTGGAGGGAAAAAAGAGACTTGACTTAGTTTAGTAGTCCATCAGTCTTAGTATTCAGGCCTGTTCACTGTTCATTGTTTTCTGAGTAGAATAATGCTTTAATCTGTCTGAGGTAAGTAGGAGAATAGGAAATATGGAGTTATGGCCAGTAATTGGTAGTAGAGTATAGTTGATGACCGGAGCTTAAAAGGCCCAGTGCAGTCAAAAACGTGATTTTTTTCAGTGTTTTATATATATGTCCACACTATGAGGTTGGAATAAATCTGTGAAATTGTCAAAATGATGATAATTCCCTTTTAGTGTAAGAGCTGTTTGAAAAAGCATCCTGAAATTTCAGCCTGTTTTGATGAGATGCAGTTTTGGCCTGCCTGGTGACATCACCAGTCGTTCAATTAGTTAATAGACCAATAAGAAAGAGAGTTCCTAACTTCTATGCCAATAACAGCTCGTTTTCAGTTTTCCCCTCCCCACTCAGACCACTCCCAGACAGTCCTAGCAAAATTCTTGCTTGAGAAATTGCTCTTTGCTAAGAAGATATTTATTTCTTTTTTTACCATTTTAATCGAAAACAGTAAGGTACTTAATTGTTACCCAGAAAGGATTTGATATTGAGATAAGAATGGCTGCATCAGACCTTTAAAAAGTGTTGAGTGAAGCTAACTTCTGTCTATAAAATGATGTCTGGGCAGTGTTCTGGATCTGGGTTTGTGCTCTACTCTACCCAGCTCTGCCCAGTGGTTGGTTGGGATTAGACCAGACCTGGGTTCAAATACTATTTGAAATCATTCAAATACTTTAAGGTTTTTCTCTAGCCTGCCTAGAGTGGCAGGTGGGCAGGGTTTGCACTTTTGGGACTATTGGTTCCATTGTGCCAGATAAGCTCAATCAAGCACAAATAAAGTACTTGAAATTATTTTAAATATTATTTGAACTCCGGTCTGGTTGGATGAGATTGGACCGGCTCATGAGGTGTGTCTAGTTCCACCTCTTCTCTGCACTCCTTTAAATTAATGACCACATTGTGTCAGTGATTTATGTAATGCACTTTGGCAGGAAGGAAGAAAAATATCAGCACCATGGATGTGAGACAAGATAGATCTGATTATGTACACAGCTACAAGTGCAACACTGAGTCACATTTCTAGGATAACCATTAGTTGTGATTTGTAGCCATACAAGTAAGCACAGACCGACATGCTCTGCCTTTATACCCAAATATGGACTTATCTTCATGCCCTTTCTTTCAAATGAATTATTATCTCTCGTATTGTCCCCTGTAGCTCAGTTGGTAGAGCATGGTGCTTGCAACGTCAGGGTTGTGGGTTTGTTTCCCACGGGGGGCCAGTATGAAAATGTATGCACTCACTAACTGTAAGTCGCTCTGGATAAGAGCGTCTGCTAAATGACTAAAATGTAAATGTAATTGTCCTTGTCCGGTCCTTGTTGACTGTTGAGCTTCTATCTAGATTAATCTGAACTAAGATCACTTGTATTGCTGGGTTCTGTGTCTGCAATAGATTCAACCCTTGTAACAAGGAAGATAGTTGATCAATGGTGCCACAACAAAACTGTGAAAAAATGAAACGCTGTAGTCTAGACACCCGTATGCCATGTAGTTATTGTATAGCCACTTTGCAAGAATCACTGTAATCCTTGGCCATATCTTTCCTGTGAATTTACTATTGGGAGGCACTATCTCAGCATCCAGGGATTGACGGCAAAGTCTGGGGAACTGGATGTTTTCATGGATATGCTCCATGCATGAACTACACCCCAACCCCCTCCCATGGAGTCTTTTTAACAAGCCAATACTTAATTTGGCCAGACACAGAAACAACAGCATGACACATTAAAAGATTTAGACATGCAGAGGAGGTTACATAAATGTTTGATCTAAAATTACTTGGGAAGACCTTATACTGGAGAGGGATGACAGGGAAGTTGATTATGTCTGTCCACGAAGGTAGTCAGTCAGACTCGATCAGAATCTGGTGGTATTTTGCTAATTGATGAGGATGATGATGAAGATGATAATGATAGCATTTGAGGATGAAAGATTCCTAAAACCTTTTCAGTATGACCTTTAACCTCAAATATTTGATTCTGAAACTAATGTAACCCTGAGATGTAAAACGCAGCTCATAGTTCATGTTCACTATATTATATATTCCCAGCACCAAGAACCAAATCTCGTTGCACGCTGGTCTGGCCAGCTACGTCTGTCATGAGAGACATACCATTATGAAATGACTGTGAACACTAGACAGTACTCCATCTCATGTTGTTGGGAAACGTTGCATGTTGTTCCAACACTATGGGTTATCCCTCTTCGTCCGACCCTGAATTATCGGTCCCTAAACAGCGATTCTTGGTTATGGTCTGAGAACAGAGCAGAGTGTTTGGCTCAGTGTGGAGACTGTCTTTCCCAGGATGCTGCAGTCAGGAGACTCTTCTTCACATACAGTGTGTGTGTGTGTGTGTAAACACGATGTCTCAGCAGGTGCTTGGTCCAAGTCCTCCAGCACCGTTCACAGTTGGACGTGTAGCTACTTTGGCATGGTGGCCATGGAATGTTTTTAAACAGCAGAGCTATTACACAATGGTGCTGGTCCATTTTATCACTGTGGAGCCTTTCAGCACTCAGTACATTACACACTGTACTGTGCCTAAATGGAATAAGAACAAGACCGAAGAAGGCCAGTGCATGTTCCCTACTCCTCCACCTCTTCTTCCTTCCCCCTACCTATTTTAATTGGCGAGAGAATACGCTCTCAAACCATGTTTGTCAAGTCAATCTGATGAAGAGAATGGTATGAGGTTTTGATGCAGTTTTAAAGAAGATATAGTTAGTATGGAGCTTCCTTGAAACTTGTTTAGAGTGTTGGTTTTTCTGCTTTCCCTAATATGACCCACCCCTCCACACACCCCACTCTGCCTTAATAATATGACCTCCCCTCCCTCTTACTCCCTCCCTCACACACTTCCCACCTATGATGGTAAACATCCAACAGATGATGTCAGGCTGTGTAAATATCATTATATTCCCAAAACAGCCTGTGCTGGAAACCAGACCCCTAGAGGGGTTAATATTAGAGGTAATTCTGTGGAAGGGGTAATATTAGCAGCATTTGCGGTAAGAACTCTTATCCGTAAACTGTCAATGACATTAAGTCACTGGTTAATGTGGATAGTTTTAAAATGCACCCGAATCATCTCTCATTTCTCTCATCTCTCCATCCAAAATGTGGAGCAGTGGAGGGAAGCCACAGTGACAGCTCTCTAGCAAATCAAAGTTTGTTGTTGGTCGCGTACACAGATTTGCACATGTTATTACAGGTGCAACAAAATGCTTACAGTATGTTTCTAGCTCCAACAGTGCAGTAATATCCAGAAATACAATCAAAAATACACACATAATCCAAAAATCAGAACGAGCAATGTCAAGAGTCCGGAATATAAATATATATATATACAGTACCAGTCAAAAGTTTGGACACATCTACTCACTCAAAGGTTTTTCTTTATTTTTACTATTTTCTACATTGTACAATAATAGTGAAGACATCAAAACTATGAAATAACACAAATATAATCATGTAGTAACCAAAAAAGGGTGAAACAAATCAAAATATATGTTATATTTGAGATTCTTCAAAGTAGCACCCTTTTTCTTGATGACAGCTTTGCACACTCTTGGCATTCTCTTAACCAGCTTCACCTGGAATGCTTTTCCAACAGTCTTGAAGGAGTTCCCACATACACTACCGTTCAAAAGTTTGGGGTCACTTAGAAATGTCCTTGTTTTCCATGAAAACATACATTAAATGAGTTTGAATAGGAAATATAGCAAAATGAATAGGAAATAATTGACAAGGTTATAAATAATGATTTTTAATTGAAATAATAATTGTGTCCTTCAAACTTTGCATTCGTCAAATAATCCTCCATTTGCAGCAATTACCGCCTTGCAGACCTTTGGCATTCTAGTTGTCAATTTGTTGAGGTAATCTGAAGAGATTTCACCCCATGCTTCCTGAAGCACCTCCCACAAGTTGGATTGGCTTGATGGGCACTTCTTACGTACGGTCATGCTGCTCCCACAACAGCTCAATAGGGTTGAGATCCGGTGACTGTGCTGGCCACTCCATTA